TTAAATACTTGTATTCCCGATGACACCAAGATATCTAATACTGAAAATCAATCACCTGAATATAAAACTGAGTTGAGAAAAATAATAAAGGATTGGAATAAATTCAGGAATGTAAAACATAACCGAGTGAAAGTATATGTAAATAATAAGCTACCTTGTATTCAAGTCAATGTACATAAAAATTTAATTGTAAATACTTTATTGGATACTGGAGCCAGCCAAAACTTCATAACACATGACCTATATAAGCAACTTAACAAATTAAAGGTTGTAAAGTCACTAACAAATTGGAAAGGTACCATGTTCGCTGCTAACAATAGCGAAATAAACGTGTTGGGTAAATGTAAATTTAAAATCAAGATTGGTTCATTTACTTGGAGGGAGGATTTTTTGGTCATGAAACATGACAACTATGACATGATTTTAGGCATGCCATTTATGTCAAACAAAGGACTGATAATTGATTTAGAGAATAATGTTTGCTACTTCAAATATAAGCCTGGAAAAATAATAAAGCTTAACAATTCATTAAATGAAGAAAATGAATCATTAAATGAAATGTTAATTGGTTGTTCTGACATGAGACAGGAAGTCAACGAATTAATAAATAATTATCAAAATGTATTCACAGATAAAATTGGTTCTGCATTAAATCTAGAGGCGAAACTTGAAGTTACAGATAACATTCCAGTAAGTTCCAGACCTTACTACTTAAGTCCGCCAAACTTACAAAAAATGAAAACCATAGTTGACGATTTATTAGCTCAAGATATCATTGAAGTATCGACTAGTCCATATTCATCACCCGCATTCCTCACCAAAAAGGATCGATTAGTTATAAACTATACAGAACTAAATAAGAAACTCGTAAAAATGGATTACCCGATAGGTGACCTAAATAACCTATACCAACATCTACAAGGAGCCCGATATTTTTCTGTAATAGACCTGAACAAAGCATTTTTACAATGCCCTTTAACAAAGGACAGCCGCCATTTAACAGCTTTTTGCACATCATTTGGTAAATACCAATATAAGCGAGTCAGCTTTGGACTTCAAGTAGGTAGCAGCGTATTATCGAGTTATCTTGATGGTTTATTTCACGACATAAAGTTTGTATATTTAATAAAATTCCTGGATGACATTGTAATATATAGCAAGGACAAAGAAGATCATCTAAAGCATTTAAAGGAAGTAATAAACCGCTTATCTCAAAACAACCTTACCGTAAATGTAGAAAAAGCCAAATTTTTCTGCAGGGAGATAAATTTTCTTGGCCATCGCATAAAGGATAACACTATATGCATTGATCCCGAGCGCACCGTGGCCATTAAAGATTTTCCCGTACCGAACACAGTAAAACAGGTACGCAGATTCGTAGGTATGTGCGGATACTGGAGCCGATATATCCCGAGATACTCAGATATATGCGCGCCATTGCATCGACTAAAGAGAAAGGGTGTTAAATTTAAATGGGATAATGAATGTCAGGAAGCATTTGAAAAACTAAAGCAACACATAAGTAACCCACCGTTATTGCAACTGGCAGATTTTAACAAACCATTTGTACTACAAACGGATGCTTCTAGCATAGGTGCTGGTGCTGTACTTTTACAAGCCAATGACTTAGAAGATTTATTACCGATAGGATATTTTTCCCGAAAATTTACAGATGCAGAATTAAAATATTCCATCTATGAGAAGGAAGCCTTAAGCGCTATATATGCCATGGAACATTTTCACCAATATTTGGAAGTGAGAAAATTTAAACTGATTACTGACAATCAAGCTTTAAGTTATGTCCTAAACACAAAACGCAAGATTGGACGTTTAGCTCGTTGGGTAGAGCGATTAATAAATCTAGATTACAGTGTTGAATTTCGTCATGGTTCCGAAAATATACTGGCGGATTGTTTATCAAGATTATATGCGGAAACTCCAAATGAAGATGATCAAATAACTTCGGAGTCACATCAAGAAATAAATATGATATTAAATAAGTGCAAAACTGATAAGAAGAATGCAACCCAAAATCACACTAGAACAAAGTCTATGAATGAAGGAGATAACAGATCACCGAAGTCATCCATTGAAGATAAACATTTTTGCAATTTAGTAGATGAAATTCCCTTAGCATTCACACAATTGGAATACCAACAGAATAATGACGCGGACTGTACTAAGATAAAAGCTAGTATAACAAAAGGAGAACATAGTAACTGTTATTTCATGAAGAACAATATTTTAATGTACAAAAATAGCAAAGATAAACCACGGATCTACTTGCCTGAAAAGTTATTTAATCTAATATTTACATTTTACCACAACACCATTTTTGGAGCTCACTTTGGAATTGCAAGAACTACTGCCAGAATAAATGAATATTTTTACCATCCTCAGTTAAATAACTTCATAGCACAAAAAGTAAAAGGCTGTAACATTTGCATGATGTCAAAAAGTACACAAAGAAAATATGAGGGAAAATTAATTTCAATTACTGCTGAAAATGCTATGGATACAATATACATGGATGTATTAGGACCTCTAGTACGTTCCAAAAAAGGGAACAAATATATATTAGCATTACACGATGCATTCACGAGGTATACTTGGCTATATACATTGAAGGAATGCAATTCAAAATCCATTATTGAAAAATTGAAATGGACATTTGCCAACTTTTCTATACCAAAAACAATTGTTACAGATAATGCTAGTTATTTCGTATCAAACCAATTTAAGTCATATTTATTTAAACATTTTATCAGCCAAAGATGTACCCCTGCATATAAAAGTAGTGGAAACAAAACGGAACGCATTTTTAGAGACCTAGGAGCCGTATTAAGAAGTTTTTATCATGATAAACAAACTGAATGGGATACAGAGCTGGATTTAATTCAGATTAGTCTCAACACAGCTGTAAACTCTTCAACAAAATCCAGTAGCTTCAAACTGATGTTTAACCACGAGCCTAGCTGCGCCTTGACTAACCTATGGGACATCAAGAGCCTAATTTCATCGGAATTAACCTTAGAAGAAAGAAAAGAAAATCTGAAGAAAGCTATAATGAATGCAAGAAAAAGTATCCAATTCAACCGAAACCGTCAGAGATTCTCCGCTTCAAGAACTAAACATCCATTTAAGCTAAATTGTTTAGTATATGTCAGAACGCATTATTTAAGTAGCAAAGTTAACAAGTTTTGTAAGAAACTAGCCCCCAGATACATAGGAATTTTTCGCATAATACATTGGTTAACTGATGTAACATGTTTGATACAACGAACAAGTGACCCACTTGATGTTAGGAAGGTACATATAATAGATTTGAAATTATATGAACCAGGTTAATTGAAACGAGTCTAAGAATTGTACTTTGTATTATAGTCGCATTACTAGAAAATGTAAATAAGAAAAAAGGTTAAGATGCAAAACATTACTGGGAATACTTGGAATTTTAACTTGTTAAGTCATGTAGGGAAAAGTTAACATGAGATAACATGATGAGATTCAGAGATTGAGAAGGGAATTAATTATTTTATGTATGTTATTTAGGGATGATTTAAGGTCGTAATACAATAATTAATTGTGTAACGTAACGATTTGGATTAGAGTTTACAACGCGAACGATTTCGGATATTAAAAGGTTAAATCACAAGAGGGATGCATGACTAGAGTTAATGTGTTGTATGTTAGATGATGAATGTGATGCGAAAGTTGTATATTTGTGTATAAATGTAGAGAGAGAATGAGAATTAGTATTAGGAGACATTAATTGCTATACATAACACTTCACTACACTGAACGATTGTATATAAATGAATTTTAAACACTAAAAACACACGATTTAACACAAACACAACACGACACACGCACACGTTAAACAGATACATAATGAAAAAGAAGAATGTGTAGCTAGGAATAAAATAATATCTGAAATCACGCGACCAGTATTGCCAACGCAACTTGTTTCCTTGTTTGAGAAATACAGAAATGTTGTATTTAAATAAATGTATTACGATTTTAAACTCACAGACATGGTTTGGTTTATATTATAATAATGAATTTTCTTGTAAATAGAGGTCGTTTAGTAATTTGAAGGGCAAAATGTATCAGTTATGAAACTCATATCGGTGAAATGGATGCAATTAAATAAGTTGTATGTAAAACATGAGGTTGGTATTACAGTAATAATGCAATGACCCGCCGCCTGGTCAGTGCTGCGCTCAGACAGCAAAGATGTGTACTATTGCAGGTTATCAGCTGTGCAGTACGTTGTCTTAGCATTGTTGATAAAAAGGCACGAATTCAAATGATAAATGAAAAGAAGGAAATATTATTTTAAGTTATAATAGTTCATAAATGAAAGTGTTTAGTTTTAAAATAGCTGAAAATTGAGAAGCGTGGGGATATTTTGTACTACTATGTAAATATTTTAATTTTCATCATTTTAAAACAAAGTAAATTAAATGAGCACTTAGGATAAAATACAGTATATGATATAATTTGTTGTTTGGTTAAGAAGAGCAAATCACTCTAACCTGTTGGCTATCCTGCAAATCAGCTGTTATCATCCTTGGTCAAAGATGAGATTCATGGTAAAGTCATTAGTTCAGTTCTAGTTCATGTCTGGGCCCCATAGCAAACACACACTCGTTGTCATGTAAGTTACAATTATTTAATTATAATATTAAGTTGAACAAATGTATAATGTATTGTATTTCAGGTATCAAGACTCTTATATGGTCAAAAATAATGAATTCATATTTTTGCAAGTGATCACAAAGTGTAATATTGTAATGTAAATACAAAGTCAATTTCCTGTTACAGATTGTATAAAAAGCACATGTTTCACAAATATTGAAAATTAATTAAATATTATTCAAGCTATGCTAATTAATGTTAATATGTTTGAATTAATAAGTATGTGATGATTTTATATAACTTCACCTTGAGAAACTGTTAAATTAAAATGTAAAGTAACAATTGTCACAGTACTATTCATGATTGTTTTGGTCAGGAAATCACATGCTGTGAAAGGTATGAATATATTTTAAAATGCTCTAATATTAAAATAATGATTACCTTTTACTAGTATTTTCTGGACATATTTCCAGAACGAGTTTCAAGTGTGCTGTGGCTATCAATTTGACAACTCGAATCCGAGCCCTGGGGTACCAGTCCGGTGCTATATTTGCAAGTCTACTGACTAAAGTAAGACTGTTTTTTTTTATATTAGAAGTAATTAGTTACAAGAAGTAATGTACTTAGAAGGGAAGAATTTGATTTAATTAAATGTCATGTATATTACTATGAAGATCGTTGATTGCTCACCATTTAACCAATTGTAGTATAGCATATGAATATCTGAAGAAGAAAATAATATTTAATATTTAAAAAGGCTAGACAAGGGGAAATTCAAATAGTAAAGTACTGTTTGTCCCAAAATTGGCATATAATTGGGCAAAGTGATACATGGGGAACCAACACTGCTGCTATCTAAAACATCTTGTAAATTACCCTATATCATCAAGTGTTTGAACAAAAAGTGCAAATTATGCAATTAATCATTTTACCATCAAATGCAAGCACTTGGTTCAAGGCTTGCGGTACATAAAAGTGCGCGACTCTGCTGACTTGTCAACTTGCCAAATTAAAAAAAATTAAATATTTATTTAACAAGCAAACTTCAAGCTAAATACAAAACAGACTGTCAATATTATATGAAGTGATTATATTTCAAGCATAATAATCACAGGGAAATTAAATGGTGAATTAAATTGAATAATAATTTTCCGTAATGGAAAAATTCAATATTAATTATTTGAGTAAGGACGAACTCAAATATGAGATTTTGTGTAGAAATCAAGAATCTACACATGATAATGTAGAAGCATTAAGAAAGGAACTACGGTGTATTATAAGTACATTGCCAGATATATCTAACTTAACTGGCAAACTTAGTGTAAATGAAGAATTTAACACAGTACAGGCTAAAATAGACTTACTAGGGTTATTGATTGAACAAGCTGAAGAAAATCCTACTAACCTACAAATAGCTAAGATAAAGGCTAAGTTAAGTCATGTACAGTTAAGAATCACTAACCTAAAACAATGTCAAGTCATCCCAAGTTTAGCTATCACACTAGAGCAGCTAGAATCAAAGATAAGAGATCTGTCAGAGAAATTTTTAATAGTTAAAAATAAAATATCTGATCAGGATTTAGAAATCTATCAAGAAAATCTAAATAAATCATTATTATAAGAAGAGGAAATAAATGCTAAATCAGATTTAGATGTAAATGTAATGACAACATCCAATGAAAGCTCCACTCCCATTAAACAAAATCAAGATTTAATCCCTATAGTTTCAACATACTGTATAACTTATACTAAAATATACTAATAAAGTAGTGTTTTTTAGGCCAAGATTCCAGATTTGGACTTGGCTTCAGACTCGGCAGGAATGTTGATGCGCAAGTCTTGGTAGAGCTTGGTCCTCAGAAAGACACGGCACAACTTGGAGAGGGTTCAGCCAAGAGAGACGCCAAAACAACAGCAACCAACAGACAGCAGCAAACACTGAGCTGGAGAAGTCTCATGAAGAGGTTGGGGACAACCATGAGAGTCAGTGGTCAGAAAAATAAATGAATCTCCTGCAATTATAGATTTAAATGTTTAACTAAATATACTGTAAGGTAATTGTACAAGTTGTAAATAACAAAAAAAAATATATAAAATAACATTTTTATTTCGTGTATTCTTTTAAATTACATTTGTTTATAACAATGGACATGTCACTGTTATGGACAAAATTTGTTTCAAAATATTATTTTAAGAACACATTTAATGTTCTTAGGTTTTGATATTTTTAGATATATTTTTCAAAAGGGGGGGCCATGGTGGAAGGAAATACATCTCTTTCTTGGATCCACCCATGTTCAGGCTAGACTGGATAGTATCACAGTAAGGCCCCACTAGAAACAATTTTTTTACGTTTTTCTAGTGATGCCTTGATCACAGTCACAATAGATTTGTTTAGAACATTTGGACTATCTTTAACACTTAATAACATATGACTTATAACATCTGTACATTTTCATACTTTTATGTAAATATTTTTATTATAAAATGATCAGTTTGTTTCAAAAGAATCTAAGCTTTTAAACGATACGATTACTTACTTTTTATGAATTCGTTAACCACGTATCAATTTTAAATTAGAAAAATGTCAAAACAAATACTCTCATTTCAAATCGGGCAGTGTGGAAACTCAATTGGGCTGCAATTTTGGCAAAACATGGCTTTGGAACATGGTTTGAACTTGGAGGGCCAAATTGGACCTTCAAATTTTCTACAGGGAATTGACAACAAGAATAGTTTCTTCCATGAGTTAGACTCTGGGCGACTAGTCCCACGATGTATCATGCTAGATCTAGAGCCTCGAGTCATTCATAACATACGCAATTCTGCGTGCAGGAAGCTATTTGATGCGCAGAACATGTTCATCGGGCAGGATGGTGGTGGAGCAGGGAACAACTGGGCTACAGGCTTCAACCAATCTCAGAAATACAAAGAGATTCTTTTAGATTTGATTCAGCGTGAGACAGAGACAATGGATTGTCTTGAGGGATTTTTAATTACCCATGCTATTTCAGGAGGAACAGGAGCTGGTATGGGTTCTTCCGTATTGGAGCTCCTCACTGAGGTGTATCCCAAAAAAACTATACAAACGTACAGTGTTTTTCCAACCTCTGTAAGCCAAGTGTCTGAATCGGGATTGAAGGAAGGTCAGTACACAGACGTGGTTATAGAACCTTACAATTCATTGCTTACACTTATGAGATTGACCAACTATGCGGATAGTGTGATAGTATTGGACAACTTGGCTTTACACAATAAAACATCAAAATCTAACTTCCTCCCCCTTCCATCTTTTGCTAATATCAATAAAGTCGCTTCCGATGTAATGACAGCTTCTCTAGGTCCAATCAGATACCCCGGCATGATGTTCAACTCACTGAGTGAGGTGGTACTTGCCCTCACACCTGCTCCTAAGTTTCACTTCCTCATGACCGGATACACACCTCTCAGGTCTTTTAACTCACCAGCTTCCGTGAACGTCGTCAAAACGTCAATAGAATCAGTGTTAAGTCATCTGGGAAAGATGAATAATATGTTAGTTTCCATAAAATATCCTAAAATATCTCGTCACGGTTACATTTCTGTTTTTAATGTTATCCAAGGAAATAATCATAAAGAAAATCTGGGAGTGTTGAAAAATAGTCGCCAAGAGTTTTTACAGAAGGCAAGTTATCTAGCCTGGGCAAAGCCCATGTCTCTGTACCAGACAACATTATGTCCTTGGTCGCCCTACCAAACTCATCCCAATCGAGTGTCAGGGCTCAGTATGGTGAACCATTCGGCCATTGTCAGTTTCTTCTACAGCACACTTACACAGTTTGGCAAGCTCTACTCACGTAAAGCCTATATAACACAGATGATGAGTCTTTCTGGTTTCGATGACCTTGAAAATGAACTGGAACTTTGTAAGACTTCTTGTGAAGATCTTATTTTAGAATATGAGTCAGCGTTAACAAGTAATTATTCTAGTAATATGTCCAACTGACTGAAATATGCTCTACAAAGTGTGTAAAGGTGTTTTGGTTGTCCGTATAGGCCTAAGCACGGTATGTACAATAGAGGCATCATAGTTAGTCTAAAAATTCAGTATAATATATTCTGCATTCTTTGCATTTTTCTGAATTAAAACATGTAAACAATAAAAAAATTCACTCCTAATATACATTATAACTCTAATAAATAAATAAAGGTACGGTAAGTTAATATTCTTATGGTGGAAATGGTTTTGATTCTTATAAAACATGTCAATATCGGTAATCTATTTTAAACAGCACACACACTGTACCTCACACCGGTTTCTTTTACGTTTTTGGAAGACGTAGCTAGTATTCGTTGACTTATTCTATATAGGTAAATGTGCCGGTATCAAGGATCGTTGTCGAAATTTGGTTATGAATAGTTGTTTAGGCCTACGAACCCAAGAGATGAGCAATTGGCCTATCGGCTGTATTGTCCAGCGATTGCAGCACACAGCGGTGAGAAGACACATTGGAAAAGCGAGTTGAGCATAATCCGTAAACCTCTGTTACTTACTTACTTACTTACTTACTCCTTCTTCATCTTTTACCCAAAAAAGGGATAGATTGCGTCTCGACAAAAAAATAATTTCTTTTACACGCACAAAAGAAAAATAAGTCCACAACGTGTAAAACCGTTTAGATATAAAAATCAATATATATACATATTCAATCACCCACTGTAGTTGTCACTTTACACTTTACACAACCGCCATTGAAGTGCCATCAATGAGTTGAATTTTGTAAGCTATTGGTAACGCTTGTTAAAAAATATAAGTTTCCCAGCCATAACACTGATTCAAGGTTTCTTCCCTGTTATTATAACTCAAGAACAATTGTATACACAAAGAATCTCTATTTTCATTTACGGTTACCCTACAAATTATCGTACTCGCGATTAATTAAATCCGTTATGTAAGGAAACACATTTTTAATCTCACTTGGTTTTGATTTGCTTTCAAAACATGATCGAAAATGGATGCGGTATTTGTAAACAGCATTTAATGTAAACATATCAGTGACAACTAGAAAAAATAATCTTGATCCGAACAGCTGTCCGTTATTTCACAGATGATTATGTGCTAAACATTGGGAGGAAACTTAACAAAAATCGCACAAAATTGGGTTTTTAAACGTCCGTCATTTTATATTAAAATTAGTGTGGCCATATTTTTGTAGCTAAAAACACATAAATAAACATAAAAACACATAGTGAATACATTAAAATGATTTGGATCTTGATAGATACTCTAGTTTTTTTTCAGGAGAAGGCCGCGTATAATTGTTCTTGGGCCGTGACAGACAGGCAGACAGAAATTGAGATGAAACTTGTTTCGGCTTTTTTAATGTATAAAACAAAAAATAACCTAAAAATTTATAATTCTGAGCTATGCACACACAAAACTCGAATTTTATTTATATAGATAGATGGCGTAATCTCTAAACAATGATTGGTATTAGCAAACATTAGGAGGAAATGTGACAAATTCGCACAATGCTGGAGTTTTGGACGTTTGTAGTTTTATATCCTAAGTAGGAAGGCTTTGTATTCTAGGGGCATGTAAATACCGGTATCAAGAATCGTCGTCGAAATGTGATTGTGAATAATTATGCCCACGCACCCAAGAGATGGGCTATGGGCCAAGATTGGAGGTATGGTCCAGTGATTGTAGCACAAATAGGTGAGTAGAAACCAAAAATGACAAATTGGAAAAGCAATTTTAGCTACATCTGTAAATTAAACCTCTGTTACGATCACAGCGTAATCGGAAAGATCTTCCAAAAACACAGCAACATCCACGATCACCCACTGTAGTTGTGATTTTTTACTTTGCACTTTACACAACTGTCCTTGAAGCTCCGTCAATGAGTGAATACCTTGTTTGTAAGCTATTGGCGACGACGATTAAAACATTTAAGTTTCCCAGGCCTATACAACACTGATTCACGGTCCTTTCCCCGGTGATCAAAACTCAAAAATAATTGTTGCACTTGCGATTAATCAGATCCGTTATATAAGGCACAATGATTTTAATCCCAATTGGTTTGGATGCGCTTACAAAACGTGATCGGAAATGGTTGCGGTATTTGTAAACATCATTCGATGTAAACATATCAGTGACAGCTAGAAGTAAGAATTATTCCAAACAGCTCTTCGTTTTTTCATAAAATGTAATAGTAAACATTGTGAGAAAACTGGACAAAATCGCACTAAAATGGGTTCGTTATTTATTTTTTTTTTCAAAGTAGCGAGGCCGCTGTATTTTTGAGCCGGGGAACAAATTTCCCATCAGAGGCGACATGGTGCCCACTTCCACAGTCCATTAGGCTGATTGCTAGACTTTCGGTGGCTATTAAAGCCTACCAGTTTCACCATAGCTCTGTTTACATGTAACGATTCAGACATCTGAAAATTTAGGAATTAGTATAACTTTGGAAACGGTGTCTGCTGCAATTTGGTGTTAAGCGTTCTTGATGTCTTCTTAGGTCTGTTTTGTGGGACATTACAATAGTACAGCTTACTTTGCAGTATGCACAATCAGCTCCTCTGAGTATTTCTTTCCCTTTAGTAATCCAGTATTTGAATTTTGGTTTCTCCTACTGGCTGACAAATTTACGTTTCACTGGATATTTCCTTACTTTCCTGCTCTTACCTTTGGATTTCGGATCTGGTGAGTCAACTTTCATTTTATCTACAGTATGTCATCTGCCGTCACAATTATGTCATGCATGTATACCGTGATACTGGTGCTACATCCTGGTGTTAAACTGTAGGACGATGTTGATGTAGAAGTACTGTACTACAGTCACCGTCGATATCTTGGGACAAGAGTATGGCTGTGCTTGAACCACTAGACATAGAACTAACAACTTCACAGTAATCATGATCAGTAGAAAGTAGAAGGTTTCTCTAAAATTATCACCTTATCTGAACTCAATGCACCAGTAGATTTATTTATTTATTTCTCTTTACAATTTTTACATTGTGTAGCATTTTTACATTGTGTGATTCTAATATTTATAATTACATAGAGGTTATTTTATAAAATTACACTTTAAATTAAATTTAACTTTAAACAAATAAATCAATAGGCCTACATTTAAGAATTTGATGAAAACTAAAAAACATTATACATTTATCAAGAAAACCTTAAAATATTTAACTCATAACCCCTGGGGAATATAATACTGTGGCCCTTAACTCCAACGGTGTGCTGTGAACTCATCAACCGAATAGAATGCCTGATTTTTTAAGTCACGCTTCAGTTTCGTTTTGAATAGAAGGGAACTTTCCAGACTTTTAAGCCTTTCAGGAAGACAGTTAAGGAGCCTGACACCTACTTGAGAAGGAAGTTTCTCAAATGCAGCTGTTCGGTGATGGACAGTGCGAAAACTTTCCCTTGCTCTTGTCCCGTGGCTGTGCACAGCAGTGCCTTGGATAGGCACATGTTGAAACCGGCATTATACAGCCGTTTCCAACATATACAGGGAAGGTAGGGTCAAAATTCCAAGCTCCCTGAAAGCTTGTCTACACGACTCTCTCCGCCTCAGATTTGGAATTAATCTGATGGCTCCTTTTTGAAGCCTAAATGCCCTGTTAAAATTTCGTTTGGCACAACCCCCCCCCCCACAATCTTAATCCGTAGGAAAGATGGGGATGAATGAGGCCATAATAGGCCATGACCAAAACTTGTGTTGAACATAAAGGCTTGAGATTACGCAAGGCAAATACCCCTTTTGCAATTTTTGGACAGATGCTATCTACATGATCTTGCCAGTTCAGCACTCTATCCAAGTGCATCCCTAAGAACTTTGTGGAATCAACCTCTTTCAGGCAGGTTTCATCCATCATTGCAGATAAGGTAAGATCTAAGCCACATAAGTGGGACTCCACGGATACCGCAGAGCTCCAGTTTCCTTAACAGTATGTCGTGATCAACACAATCAAACGCCTTTGAAAGATCGATGAAGACACCAAGTGTCTTTTTTCGATTCTCTAGTCCTTCAATGACATCTTCAATAAATTTATTTACAGCGTCTATGGTGGATTTTCCTTGTCTAAATTCATATTGATTTTCTGAGATAATATTATGTTTTTCCAAAAAGTTTTGAAGCCTATTGAGAAAGATCCTCTCAAATATTTTACTCATAACTGGTAAGATTGAGATTGGGCGGTAATTATTTAAAATTTGTGGATAATCTTTTTTATATATTGGAATGACCTTTGAAATTTTCAATGCAGATGGGAAAGTTCCTGACTGAAGTGACAGATTGATGAGTTTTGTCAATGGGATCAGTATTGGCAGATAAATTTGCTTAACTGTCCACATTGACATGCCATTAATATCGTCAGATTTTTTTAATGGAAGATCATGAATGACACGTGCAACCTCAATCTCACTGGCAGGAGCTAAAATCATTGATGAAACCGGAGTGGGCCAGAAATTACTGTTAAGAGGTGTTGGGTTTTGTTTTAAGTTACATTCGCCAACTGACTGGAAAAAAATATTGAAAGCATTGGCAACATCCTCTGGGTTATTCACAAGGTTTCCATTGACGTTTAGTGCAATTGGATTGACTTTTTTTATCATTTTTTATATTGTTGATAATACTCCATATTGTTTTTGAGACGTTCTCTGAATTTTTTATTTTCTTATTGATAGCATAAGCCTTTGCTACTTTAAACCTTCCTATAAATTAGTTTGTATCTTTTAAAAAATATTTTGAATTGCTCATCGCTGGGTGTTTTATATATCAGAGAATAAGATTTTATCTTTTGTCGTGAAACCAGAATTCCTTGGGTGATCCAGGAATTCTTTGTGTTCTTTATTTTCTTTCAAAACTTTTTTAATGGACAGGCTACATCAAGATTAGAAATTAAAACTTTATTAAATGCATTGAAAGCTTCTTCTGTTGATAGAAAACTATCTATAAATGTCCATGTCTCTTTAGTGAGATTTTCATTTAA